CTTCTCACATCTCCTAAATATTGTTTTAACACCTTTCAGATAGAATATGTTATATTAATCAACTGTGGAGGTACGATAGATGTTATAGAATTACTGCAGCCGGAGGAGAACGTTACTTTTTTTATCCTTGATAGTCACAGACCTTATGACTTAGCCAATATTTACAACGAGAAGCAAGTGCAGATACTTGGGGATCCAGCGCTGGAAGAGGATATACCCGAATATAACGATGTTTACAAAGATGACTCTGTAAGTCGAATGATTAAATAATTTGAAATCTTTTTTATGATAAAGCGGATGTGTATTGAATTTGTTATCATAGTCGGATGAGGATGAGGAAAATATTTCTGACGAAGAACATGAATCGAATCAAGCAAAAAGGAGACGGTTAACGGAAGCTAAAATTTTAAAGAGAAAAGAAATACGCCAATGGGAGGAAAAAAGAAACAATATTCTTTTTAATTATACTCAGTATAGCTATTATGGAAAATCGGTATGATCTTTAATGACATTGAAATACGTTGCTTAATATTTTAGGACTAATTCTGTCTGGCGGTTGTTATAAATTTTAGTTTAAATTTTAGAGTGCCGTGGTGGTTTATGAAATGACATGGCAAATGTCAAGAGACAATTTGGACATGGTATGGTGGGCTATTATTGGTTCTACCGAACAAGCCATTTTAAGTAAAGCGGAATCGAGCACTTGTGTCCTGGAATCTGGTAATTTACAAGGACATGTATCAAGACTGAGTCGCACAAGAGGTGGAAATGTTGATGTGCAGCAATTAAGTGCGATAAAAATTACATATGATAAAGAGTAATGTGCATTTTTTTTTTTTTTTCAATTACTTGCATTATCATTAATAATTGTATTAATTTTTCTTTATTAAATGTCAAATAGCCTACAATTAGCTTTATACCGTCATTGGTCAGTGGCCGATAGTATAAGGCATTCAATTCCAACAGCTGTTTCTTTACGTCTCTGGTCACTTAAAGGAGAGCAACGATTAAGGGAACTATTAGCTGAAATGGGACTTCCTCTTGCTCAATCCAAGCAACAATTTACTGCAATGGATCTTAATCTTAGACAAGAATTCAAAGAAATGGTAGAAAAGCTTGCTGACAAGTACAATGTTAGCAGTATAGTCGGTGCTAGTTTCACATTACAATATGGATATCGATTCAAATACTGCGCTTCCGATATTGTTTATGCAATGTTGGCTGTATTAGAATCGACCGTAAGTCTGATTTTCCAATTAGAATTTGTCACATTTATTGTACGCATAAATATCATAGAGCAGAAAACTCAAATTTTCTTAAAAAAAAAAAAAATGGAAAAACCTTGTGCAAGGTAAAATAAAACAAAAAATATATTAGAATAATGCTGAATAAAACTATGTTTACATAGAAGCTTAAAAATAATAATTTAATATTACATACATTGAAATTCAATATAGTCTTCATGTGTTATCGATTTGTCAATACATAAAATTGTTTTTATTAATACCTTTATTAATCTTCATAAAATGATTATAATAAATTTATAATATTGAAGCTTATTTTCAAAATGTTAAATTACACATATAATAATAAGAAATTCGATATTTTTATATTACTATACATTACTATATAATCGTACCATTCTTTTCAACAGTCTAAAGACAGGTTACCACAACTTTGTTTCCTAGAGGCTTCGGATTGCCTTTTACGTACAAAAAAAGAAGTGCTTGATAAAGGTATTGAAAGAGCTAAAAACATGCTCGTACATATTTATAAAACAGCTAAAAATGTATTGGAGTTGAAGCAAGTAACAAATGCTGGTACATTTCTTTACATCACTCTGTCGGAAGGAATTTTACATTCCCATTTGTTTTCTCATCCACATGCACTTCTCATGTTAGCGCAATTTACTTTAAAAGCCTACGTTGAATCCTCGAGAAATAAGCGTGCGGCTGGCTGGCCTCTCGTCGCCTCGGCGATATTTAATGAACAAGAGGGAACATGTCTTATCGTAGGTATTCCGCCAGTATGTGAAGAGCAGCCAAAAAGGTATCAATCATTGATTTATTTTAATTAATCGTACGATAATGAAACGATAAAATTTAGCTTCCATGAATTTTGTTTATAAACAGTCGTTTGTGCAATATAAGTAAAATCTTCTCTTGCGCAACCACTTGCTTTATAAAAGAAAAAGTTATTGGTTGAAAAGTAAATGAAATTTCCAAGAAAAATATTTGTTTCTATTATACATATATTGAAACTATGATTAATTATTTTTTATGAATTTTGTTGAATTATAATCCGAATGGCGAGTAATTTTTTTTTTTATAAAATTGAAGATATGAAAAATACTTATTATACTTGAATGTGATAATCTACAATTTATTTAATTCTTTAATCCTTTACAGTTTATTTGGTAGAGCATTCGAACAAGCGGCTAAAAATACCAATTCCATCTTAGAACCTGACTATTTTGATGCTACAAGTAAAACATATTCATATTAAAATGTATCGATATTGATTGTATTTATATTTTCAATTGTTAACAAATTCTTCTATTATTTTAGTTGCAAGACTGAAAATTGAAGATAGGCCTAAGTTTTTTGACGCTTTGGCAGCATTATTGGTATGATAAAGAATTGTAAAAGTGAGCTATTTAAGGAAAAGAAATTTTATTTCTAAACAATACCGAGTGGAAGAATACAATACACCGTGTAGCATATTTTATTACTATGAAGACGAAAAGCGGATATATTTATAAGTTTGATTATTATTATTTAAAAGACACATTAGTTCACGAGATATTTTTTTGTTCGTTAAATAACCAATTCTTTAATTTAAATGTTTCTTTACAATTTTTAAAGCTTTTAATATGACATTTTTAAAACTTCATCATTTAAATGTGAACAGTCTAAACTTGTATGTAATTATATTTGTTCTGCCCTGTGAGGTAATTTAATGGAATACAAAATTTTGTAAATATTTTATTTAATTACATTATAAGCTAAATTTATTGTATGAATTGAAATGCATTGTAATGTAATGTTATTATAAATTGCACTGACTGAAGCCATTATATAAGGTATCTATAATTTCTGGTATAATAAAATGCACGTTTATGATTATTAATCAATTTTATATTTATTCTCAGCTACATTATAAAAAATTACTTAAAGTTATATATTCTTGAACGTATTTTGTTCTATGCGCACTTACTTATACACAGAATTAAAAGCATTTTGTCCAACTATAATTTTCCAGTCTATAAAGAAACCAAAATCTTACTCACAATCAATGATTTCTAATTTCAAGATAAAAATTTTGTTTAAATATTTACTCATTATTTTTTAATATGAACTTTCACTACTTGTCTTCTCTTGTCAATATCACTTGATTATATTATAAGTTATTAACGTAACAAATTGTCATACTATCAACTTGCAACTACACTTTAAGCTTTATTCACGTTCAGTTCTATCTCTGTTCTTATATGACTGTTTCTCATTAACAAATATATAATATTGTTTTTCATTAGTTGGATATACCAAAAATAGCTAAACTTTCATAAATATTTATCTTATTTTTATCTTATAAATGCTGAATCCGTGTTAAGTTTTGTAACATAGGAAAAAATTACATAAATACAACATGAATAAAATACTGAAATTAAAATATAATAAGAAATATGTAAATGTATTGTGTATGGATTTTAATGCGATAGTTTACATTAGAGTTTATAGAACTATATTATTTAAGTAGATGGTTTCTACATTATATTAAAACTAACTTCAAATTTTGATAAAGGGCATATTAATAATCAAATTTAATACAATGGATACAGCATTTCTTTTTAAAACGAAAAGTTAAGTCCGAACAGAATTTTTACTAGCTATTATCTAATAGTTAGACTAAAATTCGAAATCACTGATTTTTTGTTTTTTTTTTTTTTAATTATTACCTCTACATTAATTAAATACAATTATGTATGTTTAAATGAAATAATCTGCGATTAATGTAGTATTTTATATATTTATGTCTGTATGTAGAACAAACCGTCACACTATAATTGCAGCGTGTGGTCGTACAATAATTATTAAGTACAACACGTAAAGTATCTAAATACATTATACATACATTTTGTACGAAGATTATCATATTAAATATTTATTCTAATTCTGTTTTTTTTTCCTTCTACCGTTAAGATACTTTCAAAGCATATTCAATCAATAAACTAAAAAATTTTGTACTTAAGCAATATGAGATGATGCGGACACTCTCCGTCCTTTTATAAGCTCGAGTGTTTTAACGAAAACTGTAAATTTGTATTAAGATGTTGTTAACTTACGGCATACGTTGAAAGATATAAATAAAACACTAACGACTATAGCTTTAGTCTTAATAATATTATTACTATTCTTTATATTAAAAGAAATTAAAATATTTTTTAAAATTAAATAAATGCAAAATATTTTCGCATTAAATTCAAGAGATTGGCTTGTAATAAATTCGGGTGATACGGATACTAAATGAATAGAGGTAGCTATTAAGCTATCAACACACGCGAATATAATATTTTTATATTATATTTTAATAAATAATTTAAGTCCGTACACGATAATTTATGAATTACTTTCATTTCCCATTGGATTTTTGAATGGTCATTAATTTTTCATAACACATTAAGTAGAAGTTTCGGTTAAAATATACTTATGCTCAAATCCATGCAAAAAAAAAAAAATAAAAAAAAAATCAAACAAACAAAACGTACATATACTTCAACACGCTTTATCACATAAAAAAGAGCAATTCGATATACCGACGAAAAACTCAGGGGTAAATTTGTCTGTATTTAATAAACGGCGAAGCCAATGAAGATCCTTTTTACGCAGTGTTCGTTGAAGGTAAAAACGCGTCTAATCAGATTTCACGGTCTTGTGAACAGCTGCAATTTTTTTGGTCGGCAGCTTATCATTCTTATAGTCATCGACGAATTGCTGGACAGAGTCAACTGTTATCTCGACACCATCTTCCATCACTGCGTAAATCCCTCGAGGTATGTCGATGACTGTTAGCAAAGGAACGGCATCGTCCAGTCCAACGAATTCACGCAGTATCTCCGTGGTTTGGCTCTGCAATTATTGTTCAGCGATCATTAGTAAGCGAGTTATCTCGTTGCACATGCGGTTGAGCATTGTCAGGTATATTTGGAACAATACTTATTGTAGATCTGTATGCAGAAAATAATGTTAATGGACATATTTTCGCAATTACGAGCGATTGCGTTTACAATAAAATCTGAAATTTTTGAATTTTTTTTTCATACACTAAACGTTTCTTCGTCAACCGATTTCACACAATGCGAGAGCTGTTTAAAAAACGAATTTTTTTTTCGAAAGTTTCAGTGCTTCTTATCTAAATTGAAGTGTTTGTAAACAAAAATAAAAAAAATAACGCAAGCAGCGGCTAAATATTTTATGATAATATGTACTTTTTCATAAACGACACTTTAAAGATGAAAAAACTTTATCAAACAGCTTTTCATAGTCTCTCTCGATGAATGGTTATTTTGTAAATGCTCGACATTCTCGCGTCAATTGGAAAATTCATAAATACATTTGTCGTATGTCGTTTTTTAAACGTCTTTAATGTTTTCAACATGTTTATAAAGATATAATTTTTCTAATTACTATACTACTAGCTTTTCGAAATTACATTATAATGTCATCGAGCTTTTATAACATTAACAATAAATATCTAACATTGAAGAATTTAAATTTGAAAATTCGTAATGAACATTCGAGCGGAAATTATATCCTCTCTCTCTCTCTCTCTCTCTCTCTCTCTCTCTCTCTCTCTCTCTCTCTCTCTCTCTGTCTCTCCCCCCGTATCATAATCACTCAACCTCGTTGCATAAAAATGACTTTAACTTAAATTGACATTTATTCAGATATCGATGTATTCATGGACAAATATGAGTCCTTACCAAATCCTCGCTACCAAAAACATATTTCCAACATTCAGAGCAACATAAGAGGAAAAAGGTAGCGATAACGACTCACGTCTAAGGCGATGTAAAACTGCAACGTATCGTCAGGATCGTCGTAGTTGGGATCGTAGGCTGGCCGGTCCCTCCGATATATCTCCACTGCCGGCAAGAGGACGCTCTCACCGAATTGTATATCGCTGTCTTCACCCTCTGAGTTTCAAAAAAGAGAAAAAGAGCTAGGATAAGAGAGGCCGAATGAATGACACTTAAACGCAACGCACGCCATTCGAATGGAAGTTCGTTGATTTTGCGGATTTAGGAGTCGCTTTTTTTTTTACTTTTTTTTTCTTCTTTTTATACTCACCGACAAAGAGAATAATGGCCGGGGCATCGTGTAATGAAGTCGCGTACTTTTCCGTGAGGATGTTCACAAGCCGACTCCCCCATGGGAAATTCTATTGAGGTCGCGGGTTAAACAAAAATCTTATTGTGAATTCTCTGGCTGAAGGAGGTGTGTGTATACGGGGGCTCTACCGGGGCTTTTATCTTCTACGTGTATTTTTTAAATGTTATTTATTAAACACTTGCTCGTACACGTGATTTTCATACGAAGAAAGTAATTATTTTTATTGTTTATGATATGTCTTATTCGTATATACATGTATAAGCTTTAGTCGCGGATTTTAAATTTATCCCATAATTTTAAATTGTTCGAAATTATCGTCCAACTACGGCTCATGGCTCGATGATATCCATTTAAATTCAAAAATACACAGTCACATACGATTTCATCAATAATTGTACGATACAATTTCATGAATTATTCATGTAATGCAATTGCTTTGAGCCGGTCGAGAATAGACTCATAAAGTATTTAGAATAACATATTTGAGATCTTGGCCGATAACTGCATGGCATTAAAAACAAATCCCCAGAATAAATTTCAGCCTCAACTAGTGGGATTTGGGCGAGAGAAAAGAAACGACAAGGGACAAATAATGCAAAGAGCAATTCATTTCATACAAAACCCTCTGGATCTTCGAGAACCTCGATGCGGCCATCGAACGTAATTATGTTGTCATCAGGATCGACAATGACCACTGTTGGAATGGCTTGGATGTCGAAAGCCTTAATCAATTTTTGCCTCCTCTCCTTCTCCACGAAGGGTATTGTGAACCAGGGCATCATGTTCGCGTAGTTCTTGTACGATTCGTCACTCCTGCGTAAAAATGGTGGCCTAATGTTATTAAATCTGACGCCAATGTCACATTTCACTATTATCCTACATTACTTTCAAATTGTTTTTACCATCTGACTAAGATTTAATATACGAGGATTATAAAATATTGTCTAAGGATATTATTATAAATTAGATTTTGACGAGTGGATTATAAATTAGAGTAAACTGTTTTAGAATGTATTGTAAAAATCTGATGTCTGAATAAGTAAATAAAAAGACAGAATTTTCATACATGAACATTGATGCAAATGTTAAATAGCAAACATCTGTATACGTGAGTTAAAATATATAAATTTATAAAACTACGTGGTTATTATTGCTGTTACGGATTGATTACAACAGTTTTAAGCGGAATTCAAAGTGGGAGAGGTATGAGCGCGCGAAGCATTGTTTGATAAACATTGATCAACGGACTCAATAAATGCTTCTAGCCAAAAAACTCGAACATACGACTATAATTCCGAGAAATATTAACAAATGAACCCCGAAAAAGTTATGCGCTATTGACGTCACGACAAGTAGCGGCATAGTAACGACAGCCACCGATGCGCTATCGGTGCATCGAGTTTGTCCGAGAATATTTAAGGAACGGGACGTGTCGCGATTGCTCCTTGCTAGTACCAATCAATCATGCACTCTTCACAGCGGGATCGCTATCCCCCAACCCTGCCATCGTCATTGGGAGGCCATGGCAAGCATCGAGCAACCTGAGGAACTAATAGCGATGCCATAACCATACTGGCACCCACGTCTCCGTAAGCAACGCACCACGCTCGTTCCTTACTACTTCTTCAAGTTAACAAGCACCCAGCTAGCACATCACACAGTTCCCGACTGCATGCAAGTAACGCCGGCTCACGTTCTTGCATATTACCTCACCACGCGATCGCCACTCTGCTAGCACATCAAACAGTTCCAGCCACCACGTGCAAGCAACGTCGACTCTCGTTCTTGCATATTACCTTACGCCCGCATGTAAGTAACGTCGAAGCTATTTCTTACTTTACCTGTACACCGCGATTTACGCTCGCATTGAGTACACGAACGTGCACCAACGCCACCACAACCTTGGAGCTCACATGCTCGCAGCGCAAGCTTTGACGTAACACGGACGTTCTCCCACCACTTCGTACACTACAGCTCACCCCGTCGCCGGCTACCAAGAGGGCACTAACTTGCTTCCCCTACCACCACGACTACTAGACCAAAGAAGAAGGGGAATCACGCTTCAGGCCATCAAGAATACACTACTCACACAGACTCGATCGTCACCGCTGCTACTACTGAATAAACACTAATAATAATATTCACTATATCTCATACACTCGTTATAATAATTAATAGATTATTAACTACTCATTACTTATAACATTAATAAAAGTAACGACTACAAACACAAAGGACTGTATTGAATAATCGCATTGCCCCTTCCACTTGCCAGCGAGCCTCCACCCACCATCATAAGGAGGTTTTTAGTCTGATACCAGACAATTAATTGCACTATTTACAAACAAATACGTTATTCTACCGTATAAATTGAATTCGAGTAAACTTATTTTATTTTGTCAAATTACAAATTCGCTATTTTATTGAAAATATGGATACTATAGAAAGACACATTATATACATATAAACAATATTTTTTTGACAAATAAAGTCCATTGATATCGATATGATATATAATTAAAGAATATGGAAAAAATTCGATCCACTACAGTCTAATAAAGATTGATATGTATTTTAATAACACTGTAATATGATATATTTATGTTATTCAGTTATTGATTAATTCGCTTAACGATCATCGTCTAATTAAAATAATAAATGCAATAAAAATTTCACCAAATATTTAAAATTTTATTCTAAGAAAACATATTTTTTTTCCCCAATATTTTAAATGTTGAATGTTTCACTTGTTGTAGTAAGCTCATTGTACATTCTTTGCAATTTCTTTGATCTTCCTTACACTATTTTACTTGAGTAAATATCTTTTGATGTCTAGTCTTTCCATAACAGAAGTTTCAGTGTTAGGATGCCATTAAATAATCATTTCTTTTGTGTTTCTTTAGAAGAATTTGATGTTTTGAGGTTTTTTGAGCATCATCAAATGTAAATAAGAGTATTTTATTATCTTGAATGCAACTGCTATAGGAAACGTTGAATGTAATTTGAAATATTTATTAACATTCACATATAATACTAATAATTTATTTTTTATTAACACAATTTATTAAGGTTACATGTGTTTTTATATATTATTATGTTAATTAAATTAAATCTTGGATAGCTTATTTTTGCCATTTGTAATATTTCATATGGAAAATTAATAAGTAATGTAATTTTACATAAACAAATTCCTTTTATGAATTTAATACGGACGAGATTAAAGAAGCTAATGTGTGAAAATAAATTTTCACATCCTCATCACTTTTCCACATTACTCTAACGAATAATCTTTCTGCTCACTTATTTTATCCACATATTTATTCGTATTATTAAAAAACTTCAAAATACAAATGATAAGCAATATTATATATTTTATTGCTTGTGAGTCCGTGATTACCCTTAAAAGCTTTCACAAAATGGAAATTCTTTGTTAAAGCATGGGCGCTTCCTTGTCTCTACATTTAAATGTCCAAATGCTAGACCGTAAGCTATCGATTTCACGTTGAAGCTCTCTACTTGAACAAAGGCCAGTTAATTAACGAATGTTCCTAAAAGTAAGTAGGTGGTATTTTTATGTCAGGAGAGTTCATTTATCTCGATTTAATTATCATTTTTATTTCACTTTTCAGCCCCCCCCCCCCGCTTCTCAACCCAATTTAATAACAAATATTTTGGTTTCGATTTATTTTTCTGAAGAAGCGTATATTTATTGCACACGTAAGAAATAAAACAAAGGATGCTTCATATTTCGTTTTTTCGTTTCTTTCCCTCTTTTTCAACGCGACAACAAATTACAAGAGCTCTTCAATCTTTCATTATCGCTGTCGACTCGTCTTTGTGCGCGCGTGTGTGGTTGTTTAACTGTTTCCGCTTTCGAATTGAAAGTATCGATCATCTATTTATCTCGGAGATGAATGGGACCCGGATGTTTTACGCTTGAAAAGCAATTTGTATTATTTACACTTTTTGCAAAGTCGAACATTATGTGCTATGAACAAATTTCGATCTTTTGTATTATGCCATTTTACTAAGGGGAGTTTCTCTCTTTATCTTTGTGTTTAACTTAATAAAAATTTCATTATCCAGAAAATTCGGTCTATTGAATTGCTTTTAAAATTCAAAATGGCTTGAAGTAATTTTTATATTATATTTTACAACAATTATGAATATCACCCAAATAATAATTTATATTCGTAACAAGCAGTAATTGTTTTGTAATACAATTAATTAAAATAATTAATTGCACGCATACGTATAAAATTAAGCATCTTAAACCTAATGACTTTTCTCTTAATTTATACATCACAGTGTAAGCATTTATTTATTTATTTTTTTTTTTTTCCATATTGTATCCTTTCAGAGACAAGACATTCTATTTATAAGAAGTTATTTGTAAGTATTTCTTTAGTATAAACACTTGTCTTTAAATTTGAATACGAAGAACATGGACGTTTCAAATTTTAACTTTTTTTATGCCAACTGTTTGGAATTCCAGCCACCAGTATGATCACATATCACGATGGGTGGACTGGACCGTACCACCGGTTTAATGGTGATGATGGGGGACAGGGGGGGGGGGGGGCGAGATGAGTGAGAGGTTAATGCATTAATTCAAAGTAAACACAATTGGTTTTAATGACCTTTATTTAAGCAGTTGTTACAGTGATGTTGGAGTTACTGATTGTATTGAGAATTGTTGAGTTCGTATTGATTAGGCAGCGGACCATGAACTTTGGAACGTCGTCTGGGAGTGCAAGTCTATGAGGGAAAATTGGGAGTACTGGGCACGTGCTTTAGCCCCTAAATTAAAGGAGTCTCTCCAGTTGGAGAATCATTAAACATTAGATACGGCGCCATGGCTTTTCGGAGAGCCATGTTGGGCTTGCGACTTCCTTGATGGCAAACAATTTTACGGCGCGTTGTTCGGCTCGCGAATACTTGACGTTCGATTCGGTGATAAAATTAGCGGCTCGTTGTTCGGCTTGTGAATGCCTAGTCGCTTGAGTCGGCGCTATAATTGTATTGAGCGTTATCCGGCTCGTGACTGCTTAGACGTTTGAATCGGCGATAGATTTTACTAAGCAAGATTCGGCTCGTGAAGGTAGTGGGGACTTATTACGGATTGTCGACGCCCTCTTTTGTGGTTTGATCAGAACCAACTCGTTGCGGCGTGACCGGTAATGTTATCGCTGTTTCACAGTGATAATAGTTTAGCGGGGAGCATCCATTAGTATCGGTGCCCTCTTTAGCGGTTTGATAAGAATCAAGTTGCAATGGCACGAATGCGTTATTCTTTGTATAATGGCGTATGAAATATTTTTATTTTGACATTGATATCCCACCTAAAAACTTAAGCATTAATAATTATATTTCCTTAAGCTTTGTAAGAGTTTTATTACTTTTTAAAGGAGCTATAGCATAAATACAATTCCACCGGTTACCTCTTTATCACATTACTGATTCGACTAATCGAGTGACTCCTCCGCTCTAGTGTCCAGACGGATAAGACTTAGCCAGTAAGTACATAAAGCCGAATAGGTTGGCGTGCCTTCCTCCGATAAGAATTCTGAGAATAAGTGGAAACGTACTACTGCCCGCCTGAGCAGTTCGGTCGTGCTGTTCGAAAGATCCAGAATTCGGAGATATTGCTTTGCTTTTCCTTCGACCTAGACCTACGGCCCCGTGAACCAAGAGGCCCTGAAACTCTCCCCTAATCTCGTAATGCTTATAGGCAATTAAGGGGTGCGCGTTTTTTCCCCCTCCATCTGGATAATTTAGTACCTTACATTGAGCATAGCCTTATAAGGGGGCAGACTAAATCAAGCATTATCCACGCATTTATTAAGCAGCTGGGTGTGGGTGCGTAATCCCCTTCGTCCTATAAACGTATTCCCCGCTCGAAAATATACTTGTAACATTTGACTGCGATCGACAACCACTGCTTCTGAAAACTTCCACAATGCGAGCTCTTGTCTTTGAAATTGACAAAATAAAGGAGATAAGAGTACTCGCTTTATCCCCTGCCAATTTTTCGAGCCAAATACAATAGTACTTCCCCCCTCCCCTTAAATCCTTCCACAAAGAGATGCTCGATAAACTCATAACTAATTTGGATTAATCAATCTTTAAGGTCATGGGCCAAGACGCTACTTTTTCAAATTGCGTCAGTGCAAATGAATATATATATATTTTTTTATATTTATATATTGCCCCCCCCCCATTATCTTATTGATTTTAGTCTTATTAAAGTTATAAACTTACCTATCTATGCTAACGAAAATTATTTCAAAATTCTGACCCCTTTCGCGAATTCGTTGATACGTTTCGATCAATTGCGGCGTGAAACTCCTGCAAGGTGGACACTGTGGAATTAAATTGACATTAAACAAAATTTTTCACTATCCTCCAGTTCATCTTAGGGTTATTGATTATCTATTATTATAATGAAAATGCTGAATAATATTTTATATGTAGGAAACAAAATTTCGCGTCAATCTTATTAGAGACAAATCAAAATATGAAAAACGCAAGTTTTGAATGTTAGTGATAAATTTAAAGATTATGTGACAAGTCGACACATCAAACTCAAAAAATTTGCAATAAAAATGATGTATATCATTTCTTCTCTCTCTCTCTCTCTCTCTCTCTCTCTCTCTCTCTCTCTCTCTCTCTCTCTCTCTATCTATCTATCTATCTATCTATCTATCTATCTATCTATCTCCTTCTCCCTCTGTACAAGAATAGTAAAGTATAAACTCAAAATGTGCTTGTAAATAATATAAAACATGAAATGCACATAGATGCTCACCCAGTACGCACTAAAGTAGATCCCCTTGTAGCAATATCTCAACTCCTTGTATAGCTTCGACTTGTTGCTATCGCTGCGCCTGCATGATAACAGGGGACCGTCCTCTAGGGTAAGCTGGGGATGGGGTGGCTTCCAGGGGAAGTTGAGACCGTTCGGGTCGGCGAGTGTCCGCTCGACGCCTTCCCTCGTCAGTACCATGCCGCCGGCGCCTTCGAGAAGAATCAGCATCGGTACACCAGCCTTTACTCGATACCTGCGCGTCAGTTTCATCTGTGGATGAGACCGACACACCAAAAGGTATTAGTTTACTTGTCATCTGGAGCAACTCCCCTCTTTGCGAAGAGAGATAATCATTATGGGTGTGTGCATCAAGATACGAGTGGCTTAAAGTAGTTTTGGAGCAAGATTTGTTTTTTCTTTGTCGAAAACGTTGGTATGCAGAGCGATGTTTTGCATTTATTAAATTTTAAAGTATTCGAATGTTTTAACACGATAGAGAAGCTTATGGGAAAAGTTGCACCAGCTCGTCACAAAGTCAAGACTAAGTTTTACCTTTTAGAATATGTACTATAACAATCAAAGAGGATAATTAGAACGTCACAGATTACGATTTATATATATATATATATGAGAATTCAGATTATTTATAATAAATTATGTTGGTTATAATTATTACAAAAACAAAAACAATAATAATAATAATAACTAATAGATAAATACTTAATTACAATATGCATTTCGAATACATAGATTTATGCATAAAATGTATAACCATTGAAGTAAAGTGGAGAATGTTGAAAATAGACTTTTCAACTCGCGTAACATCTATTAAGATTGATGCTCTATTTCATGACATTTAGGTAGCAGAGTATAACTAAGGGTTTCGTCTTTGTTAGCAGTTTAGACGCCACCTCCTTGCTTTTATGATTGTGTACTTGATTTCAATGGAAAAGAGATAAATTATGCATGAGAACATGATTATGGAGATTTCGATTTGTCTTTCAAGGCGGTGACAGGTCAAAAAGCGAATTTATTTTAACCTTTTTGTCGTTTCCCTTTTAGAGATATTCATGTGGTTTCATTATTTTGGCTGTATGAACTAGAGTTGGTTAAGCCTACCTTTTGCTGAGCAATGCCAAGTTCAAAGGAGTAATTTACCGCTGTAAAAGAAATGAAATTTTTTTTAACTACAACTTCTTTAGACTGACACTACAAAACTATATGTGATAATATGCCGAGTGAACGGCTTATCTTTGAGAATATTTACTTTAAAATGTTACATTACTGAAATAATTTATATTGTGAATTAATTATTTCAACTCAAAAGTTCAATCGATGCCAAAATACATAATAATTATATTATTTACCAAATTTTATTGTTAAGTTTTTTTTCTGTTCTGTTTTCACAATAATCATATAAAATTTATAAGTTGATGTAGAAGTACATTCTTCTAACGTAGAATCAATGTAAGACAAACAGGAAATAGTTAAATGTTAATAGTTTGAACAATTCGAATTTCACATTAAGCTCTTCTGCTCTCACCACTTGAATAAAATAATATTTTAATCCAGACTATATATTGGCAATATAAAATATATTCATTCTCAAATATTAATTTTCCTATTTGATATAATTACATTTGCTCTCTAATCCGATTTATTTATTTGTTCGTGTGAGTTAATAAAGTAAATCCAATAAATCCAGTCAGAAGTTAATAAACTTCAAATATTCGTTTATCGTACATTACGAGCTCAAACATTCTTCAATAAAATTTCCGGGACAAACGACTTCTCCATTCCTTTATCTCAAAACTGTCGATACACAGACTTTCTCTTACAATATCCATATCTATTACCAATTCGATCGATTGCCTTAATTCCCCTTCTGTTACCTATCGAGTCTCGCTTCGACATTATATACCCCAGCGAACTTCAGACTCAAATTATGAAAAAGATCAGTGTCAGCTGCTATCAAGAGCGTGCAATTTATGCAAAATCCAACCTGAAGGGTCTAGTGATATGACGAGGAGCGAACGAAGTCTTCATATTGGGTAAAAACTCAATGTACGCTACTCGTATATTATACTGTGCGATGGTATCTTTTTTTTTTTTTTTTTGTTTATTTTTTGAGACGTGATTTATGACGCAATCGACTAGAATTCTGCTTTTTTTTCTTCATTCGCGTAATGCGGTATGCGGGCGATGAGCCAGGATTAATCGACAAAATACTTCTATGTCGTATCGTTTGAATTATTTTATTTACACAAAGCTATTTATATTGTAGGAAAATACTTTTTCAACCGAATTCCTACATAATCATCTGGAGTAAAATAAAAATAAATATCTTTGTTTATCAGATCTCCAAATTGTAGAATAATGTAAAAAATAAAAATAAAAGTAAGTTACTATAGTATATTTGTTTATTTACTTTTCTATATACATTTAATTCTATAAACTTTTCATACATTGCCTGCCCATAACAAAATTTATTAAATTTTACTGCAACAGCAGCAGCTTCCGAATGAACGATAAAACCTTTTATAATGCAATTATTCACTAGTACATAGACTTTGCATTGACGTACAATGAAGTACATTAGAAGTTTCTTAAAATTATAGCCATTTATTTTAAACTAATAGCGGAAATCATATAATAAAGAAACATTTTTATTTTCAATAATGCAAATAAGATCATCATTTTACGCACTAGCAACCGCGAGTCGAATGAAATAAATTTCCATTTCCTGAGAAAGCTAAGCACGTATAATCATAATGTCAGAATATACATTACATTGTGCGAAAGGATCGTAACATAAGCCCTAACTGCGAAAGAAAAAGAGATCAGCCAGGGGACTAATTATTAAAGAAAATGCTTGATTCTAGTTCTTTTTCGCCCTACCTCTCACTCTCTCTTCTACTACCTCTTCCCTGGCCTTCTCACTCTCGCTCTCGCTCACTCATTTGAGTGAGGGGTTCCTGAGTCTGGGAACGCACACATTGATGTCGGACACACCGGTATTTCAGTTCGTCCACCCCGTATCAGAGATTCACTTCCTCCAGCGCATTCACACTCTCGAGAGTCGAGTCTCTCCATGAGTAGCGTGGCCAAGGAGCGACGTCGCACGCGAAAGGGAGAGCTTCGCAGCATTTCTTTTTTTCTCTTTCTTTTGTGAAAGTGTTATTCAGCATTGCGCAACGGGGCGGGCGCACATTGGGAGAAAAGCTGCGCGAAAGAGAGCGGAAAGGAGGAAAGGTAGATAACAGGAGTCGGAGATGCGAGAGGCGTTCTTTTTTTTCTTCTTCGACAAAGAGAAGGAAGGAGGCGCGCAAGAGGGTGCGTCTGGAAAATGAAAATGATACGAGAGAGGCGTGAAAGAGATTTCCGAGCCGGATAAGTGCGCCGTTTGTTTTTAATGCGAGTCTATGATGGCGCTGATGCCGCTCGGGGCTTGAGCGCCTGTACGTCTTCGTGTGTCAATTTATTTTCCTTTGTTTGTCTTGGAAGCCGCTTCCGTGTCGATTGTTATAAAAACAAAACTTGTATCCGTAAAATCGTAAACGTGGATTTGAAGTGTCATACGGGGAAAGTCTTCTCCCCGAAATCATTCCTTGACCAGTACCAACTTGACCAAAATCTTTTTACAATGGACGTTGATACTGATATATTTCATCATTATATTAAAAAATTTTGTGCCATATATTTTTATTTTAGGCAAAATAAAAATTTTCAATCCCGTGTAATTAAAATAATTAATTTCGATTTATCTCTTTTTCATTCGTTCCAAGGCACTCATGCATAAAATATAATTTAAATTGAAAACTTATTTGCATTTCTCAACCTAATGACTTAGGCAAAAGTACGATATTCGACAAATTATTATCAATGTGCATTTCAACAATATTAAACTTCAGACACATGACATTAAAAAAGGCAATGACACATTTCAATTCGTTTCATTTCAATTATATTTCTGTAATTTCTGTTAATATTGTCGTTATTCTTATTATTTTTAATTATATATTCAGAATACCATTAAAGTTGCCTAATAACGAGTAAATGAGGTAAAAGTATGAGTATAATTACTAAGTAACGTGAAATTTTATTACATGTAATTTGAACGTTTCACTTTTATCGAAGCAAAAAAGTAATTAAAATACACATGCTCGTGTATATATATATATATATATATATATATGTGTGTGCGTGCGTGCGTGCGTGCGTGCGTGTGTGTGTGTGTGTGTGTGTGTGTGTACCATATTATTATTATTATATACTTTAGACTTTTTTTCACCGTATTACCTACTTACTTTTAAGGTAACAAAAAATTTAATTGTGTACTAACGACTACAAATTAAATTGCATAATTAAATGAAGTAAAATAGGAAATGGCTCTTTCATTCTAATTTGAACATTACATATTATATAAAAATATACGCTAAAATTGATATTTACTTAAATTTTCAAATGAGATGCTATTAATTAAGTCTCAATTTCTTGATCCTACCAGAGCAAAAATATTAAAAGTTACGATTTATCTCAATATATAAACATTAAAGTAATTCCAATAAATTTGAAATATTTCTATTCAAAAAGTATTCTCCAATAAAATTTATAAGATTCCTGAAGTATTCAAAACTTTTTTAATATCGTTATATATCAGAAAAACTTTTTTCACTCTCAAACACATTCTAGCATTATTCTGTCTAAATTTTTCTGTAATATTAAAACTTTATATAGAATTTAAAAATACTAGAATATTTATTTAAAATTTTAATAATTATATTATAACTATTTTAATTATAGTCAAACATCTTCAGAGCGACAACTTATTTATTTTTTTATGATTTTTATATGTAATAATATTAGTTGGAAAATTCGGAATTATTAATAATAATATTATTAATATGAAGGTATAATACATAATATTTATATTATGTTCCGACAATAATGATTAGTTTATTTATTCTTTAAATTTATGTGCAATATCTATACAATACGGACATATATTGTGCTTATATTTGGGATGAAAATAAAATTATTATGCGATTTAAGTCATTTTTTTATTGAGGCGCAAGTGTTTAAAGTGCATCATAGGTGATTAAGATGACCATAAATATATCGTTTCTTATTTAAACTATTAACTACTTGAAAGTACTACTTTAAATAGTAAATTTATAACTATATCGAGAAGTGTAAGTAAATTTATTTGTTTACGTTTAATAATATTAAACATATAAATTTATCAATAGCTGCACTTAAAACTAATTCTT